TTTCATAAGAAAGCGATCATTTTCTTCGATCGAGCGAAAATCGAAAAACAATGGCGGTCGAACAGTGAAAGAAATCAATTTCTAAACAACTTGTTTGCAAAAGGAGATTTTGGGTTTAAGGGACGAGGCCTTCCAGATGCCCGGAATGCTTAAAATTCTGGGCCGTTTCCATTCATCGGAGCGTGACACGCGAGAGTAAAAGTACGCCGAATACAGCGGGCTCTGGTCCGCCGAATCGAAAAATGTCTGCCACAGCCGTAAAGTCTGCTCCAGATTTCCTTAAGAGCACGGAGAACCGGCCTCCGTTGATTATATTATACAGCCGCGTTCCCCTCGTTTGTAGTTACCGGGCAACTATCTCTTTTTTCATTATGCAATTGCTTTCTTTGCGGGCCGCCGCCGCAAGAAACCCTCCGGGATCAGCTTCCAGCGACGTTGTTCGCAATTTTATCGTCAGAAGGACACGTCTCCGGCACGGGCGCGCCGTAAGCTTCCGTGTGACGCTTGCTCGGATTGCGCAACATCATCATCATCATCATCATCACCATCCCCCGACGACATCTACTCCCTTTTCCTTACTCCACTTCGGGCGCGCTTTCTGTTAGAAAGCTGCGTCTTCATCTCGCTGACGATCCTTCTCCCGGGATCGTACAGTAAAAGTCAATTAGTTTTCACTCTTCCCGTATGCAGTTTTACTTTCCGAGCCGTCGACTAGAATAATTAGCGTAATTCTGGAGCGAAGGTCGAATTGCACTCGTTGCTCGTTTCGAACTCTTGGAGAATGGATGCCTGAAAATTTTTGAAGTTGTTGAACCATCTTTATTGAGTCGTTAAGGATCTCAGTGATGGAATTTGTGGAAATGGCGGGTTTCGAATTTCTTCGTTCGCGATCATCGGGATTTATTCAATGGACGAACCTAGTACCAAGGGTTGATTAAGAGAGCTAAGTGATCTAGTCGAGACAATTTTTGCCAACTACCCTTCCAGTTTCTGGGAAACAGAATGCATACACATACTCTTGCGGATCTTAATAAAGATGAAACGGATATGATGGATCAGCGTAATTTTTATAAATAGACAAAAAATAGAAATAACAGTCTTCGTAATTAGATAGAAAATAAAAACTGCGGTTTTTATATAATTAGACAAAAAATAACAGTCTTGTAATTAGATAAAAAATAAAAACAGCGATTTCTATATTTAAATAGAAAATAAAAACAGCGGTTTTTATAATTAGATAAAAAAAATAAAAATAGCAGTTTTAATAATTAGATAGAAAACAAAAACAGCGGTTTTTATAATCAAATAGAGAATAAAAATAGCGGTCATTGCGTTTGAAATGTTGGCGAAATCACGTGTACGCGGGAACGGCCGTCAAAGTGTTTCGTCCGTGGATCATCGCTCGATCTTCCGGATCACTGGCTCGAGACGAGGGTCTCGATCGAATCCCCGAAGAATCGCGAGCCCTCCATGGCCGGTCCTTTCTACGCGCGGACCTTGGTCGATATTGTTCCACGATCTGCATGCGCATACACAGCCATTCAATTCGCAACACCCGATACAGATACGTTCCCCCCGTGTTACTTTTTTCTCCTCCGTGTCGATGCCATTTTTACACGCAGGCCCTCTCACTTTCACCCGAGCTACCGATCGAGTCTGCGTCCACCTCTTAACGATCGGCCGGTTGCCCGGTTTACGCCTAACTAGTAAACCCGGACTGCTCATTAAAAGTGGTAACCGCATTTTCCTGTGTCCCGCCGGAGCCGATAATTAACCATTTCGTCCCATAAGTGGACAGGTGAACACGTCACACGGAGCGTTTCGAACGGCCGTTCGAGACGTCCGTCGTTTTACGTCACTGCTTTCGATTTCCTAGAAAAATTACCGACTTATTAAGTCTTCCTCCGTAGCGTCGCGTTCGGGCGATAGCCATTGGGGCGGCAGCAGTAAATCGTTGATCGATCGGGGCCCAGATAAAATCGCTTCCGCCGATCTGGAACGTCCCGCTGTGTCTTCTAAGTTCCATTTTCAATCATTTCGAAGAAGCTAGCACCGAATAAAATGATCTTCATCGATGACTTCGTACAGTTTCGTTGCAAACTCGACGCAGAGAATCGAGTGGCGAACTTAGGGACGCTTACGTACGCGAGAGCGTAGACGTTCTGAGATGCCCACGTCGGGTAATTACGTGCGTTGACGCCTCGTATAGATTCTTAAAAGACCGGATAGGTGACTGGGTGCGCGATAATCGCGGTAGGATCGGCATGATCTGCATCAGGATCGTTGCGTAAAGCGTCTTGTGGCACCGATGACAAGCGGACCACCTCCGACCTTTGTCGCCCGGTCAGGAAACCTTTCGGTACCCGCCGATACACCGGTTGGAAAAGAAGCCGTCGCCGGTTCGCTTTCGCCTCCGCGGCCAAAAAATCGGCGAGGATCGCAAGAAAATAATTTCGATCGTGCGACCGTCGCGCATCTGGCGCGTTGTCTCCGCTTTTACACTGTTCCCCGCCGAACGGCCACGCCATTTTTCGTCGTCCGGCGCATTTGTCACGCTCGCCGGAGGTTTCTTTTTATCACGGGGATCTGACGGTGTCGTGGGGGACGAGGGGGTCCGCTCTCGGAGGCCTTTCAAATTTATCGAAAGCGCCCGGATCTCCGCGCGATACATCATCGCGCCGTTACGAATGAGATGTCTTCAGCGAAACGTGAAACCGCCGTCCGTGTTTTACGTACTTAGAAAGTCATGGTGCTTTCCACGATGATCGCCGATGGTAGCTCGGCCGGCACGCGTCTTCCTTTCGCGGCGAACAATGAGGGCCCCGCTGGTTATCCGAACGTTTTGATGCTGCGGGAACCACCGTTCGCCGGCCGCTCTTCGCGGAGTGCTTAAACGTTGCCCATTTATCGCGGCTGACACGCGAGAAATCGGCAATTTAGCCGTTTGATCACGCTTCAGAAAGCCCGAGAAGACAATAATCAAACGAATCGAGCCGAGTATTCGAAGAGCGCGTCTCCGACGCGTTGCATCCTATAATGTGATCCTCGCGTACCGAACACCACGATCGTGTCATATTTCTGGAATGTACACTTTCTAGAAAGAATCCGGGGCAGTTCGAACTGTCCAGCGCGATATTAATCTCGGCTCGCACGAAGAAATAATCGTGTCCGGCTCGTTTATCGCGCCGGATCGAACGCGCGCGCTTTAATCAGCGCGAAGCCGGCCAGGTTCCATGGGGGTTCAACTTTCGAAGCGGCTATTTTCTCTCTTTCGCGTCGGAACAAGTTGCGCAACGCGAGAAAGATACTCTACATCTCGTTCCGCAATAAAAATGCAATTTCACTCGCCGCACGGAATTAGCAGTTTTCCAACGCGTGCCCGACGAGTCCGGCCGCGACTCGTTGCATCGGCCGATCCGATGGAAACCGTTTGACCGTATCGAGCGAATCACCCCGGGGCGCAGAAAAGTGCGGCAACCGGCGCTAACGGGGGCAAAAAGAAAAAAGGAGAAGCCGGCGCTCGATTTGGAATACGATTACGCCATTTCACCGCATTTCTCTGTGGCCCTCTTTCCCTAGCATATTCTAGGTCGTCGAGCGAGCTCCTCTCTCGGCACACTTGCGCGACGCTTCTCGGGAGAAGACACCTGCAGCTGCATTTCGCTAATCGTCGTGACGCGTCACTTTTCTGAGACGTGACCCGAGGCTCCTCTTTCCAGTCGTTCCGCAACGGTCGTCTTCTTTACGAGCGGATTTTTTGCAAACGGTGAAACCGCCGCCGCGTCGTACCGTTCGACCATCTAGATATCGGAATCATCAATCTTGCTAACGGAGGATAATTTCTGATCGTTAATGCGAACGCGATTGATTTTTGAATAGACGAGCATCGGCTTCGCGGTCTTTAGATTACGATTATCCGCATGATTGCGCCCGGAGCTTGATCATAATTAATTCAGAGAGACTGGAACGCAGATGGAATGGATCCGACGATCCATTTCCGAATAGATTAAACGCAACTTTTGAAGTCGTTAGATCGATCGGTAGAAATCCGCTAGAAATCGTCGATTAATAACGCAGAAATCTTGTTAACTTCGCCCGATGACTGCACGCGCGCGTGCAGATGCAACCGTCTCTGAACTACTGCGATTTCATTCTCCAGCACAATAGATCGTAATTCTTCACCGTCCGCGCAGAGCATTGCCCATCAATCTCCGCGAGGATATTTACAACCTAATCCGCCATCGGCGTTCGTTTATTGTCCGCCTAATAATCCGTCTTCAGAGCCCGGGCGCAATCACAGCGAAACAGGATCGCGCGGACGCGAAAGACGAATCGATCGACTGGGGAAAAGAGGCATCTCCCGATGGCTCTTTAATTAAGAAACACGTTCGCGGATCGATACGGCGATTTAGACGATGTTCGCGCGACCTCCGGGATTACACGATTTCACTAAATCGCCGGATGATCCCGCTTTTCGAGCCGGCCGCTTCGTTGCTTTCCACGTAATGCGCGTGCTTTATGGAAGATGTCAATGGCCAAGGTTGCTTTCTCTCGCGCTCCACTCGTCGAGCATATAGCATTTGGTCGCGTGGATCGCGAGAAAGTGCATGTCGGCCGTGTAATTTTACGCAGCGCAGGATCAGCCGTTGGTACTTTACGGTCGCTTTGCTTTGCTTTTGCAGGATGTTGTGGCTGTGTCTAACAGCGCTCGCTGCCACCGCAGCGGCGCAGTCCTCCTACGATCTGGACGGCAGGGTGCCTTATCCTGGCAAGTCCTCCAGCCTGGGGCCTCTCTACGGAGGTCAAGGATTCCGCGATAACAGCTACGAGGACAATATCGTGACGCCCACGCCGACGCCGGCCTACAGGGCCCCTGGCAGCCAGCAGGCCGTAAGCTCGATGTTACACATTCCACCGACATTCCGACGATCTTCTTACCCCGTCCAAACACTTCGACTCTCTGTGTAGACTTTACGTGAACTCGACATTTTTTTTCCTTCTTTTAACGCTTTTTAAGTTGACGTTGGATGAACACTTCGGAACACCCTATCGAAGGCATCTTCGAATCCGGCGTATCTTTTCATCTACGAACAATGGACGATCAGGATTTTTTAGAGGAAATATTTAAACAAAGTCTGGACTGTGTTTTCAGAATTTTGTTCTTACCTAACGTTGCAATATGGTGAAATTATTATACTTCGTTGTCTAACCCCGTGTCCAGAGTCAACGAGGAAACAGCAGTTTCGTTGAAGAAACGGCATGATTCGCATAAATCAAAGTTCTGCCGGTCGCGCGCAACTCTTCCTGATCCTGCGGAAACGTCGATCGGTACGATAATTGGCTGGCCGAGCGCCGATTTCGTCGGTCGGTCCCCAGAACCGTCGATTTACATAAACAGCCGCGGTATAGCGGCGAATTCCTTTTCCCTTTCGCCTGGAACATTCTCGCTTTCCGATCTGCTCCAATTTCGAATATTATTAGCCCCGATGAAAGAAGTTGGATCACATAATATTACGTTACAACGTTATATAAGGACTTACGTAAAAATAACCGGTTGCCTCGAACTACTGTCTGACAAGCGAGTTCATTCCCTGCAGCTGCGTAACAGGCGCGCGAACCTTCGTCCATGGTTCCATATACATACATACAGACGTACACGCGTACATAGACGGATACGTACACGCGCGCGTACGTATGTAAAAGAAACTGAATTCCTTGACTAATCATGGATCTGATCCTTTTTTGTCCAGCTGTACCGCAAGCCGTCGCTGGACCAGGGTGCCATCAGAGTGAACGGACCGCCGCGGACCGTTCTACGCGGTGGACAGAATCCTCAGGTAGCCTGAACGATCATTTTCACGCCGTTTATTGTCTCGCGGCCGGTGATAAATACGGCAACGAGGGAAATCCCTTTCACCGAATCTCTCGAGCGGTTACGTAATTTTCATAAGCAATCGAAGAAACATCCATTGTTCGCGGTTTCGCACAATGCCGTTGCCTTGCGCAATGGCCAGACATTATGGTTTCGCGGGAATCGGCCCGGGCTTCTTTTATCGCGTCGATTCCGAGCGATTGTGTGTGTCGCCCCCCGGAACGATCATCGGGGAATTAAGTAACGATCGTTTGCGGCCGAGCCAATTTCCCCGGTCCAGTTATCCTTTCGGCGAACAGAATTGGGAAACGACGGGGTTTACGGGGCGAGCCTTTCTATTCTGCTCGGCGGCGACACTGACTTCCAACGCGGTGTTATTTAACTTCGTTGTTCCACGGTTGAAGGCCGAGGCTGAGGAACTCGAAGAAAAGGAGGAGCCCGATCGTCTGACCCTCCTGCTGCCCCAGAGCAAATTCGATTGCGTGAACAAGCAGACCGGCTATTACGCTGACGAGGATCTCAACTGCGAGGTCTTCCACTACTGCCAGGACAACGCGAAGCACTCCTGGATTTGTCCCGAGGGATTCACGTTCCATCAGGTGAGCGGCCCTCTGCATCTTCGACTCCTGAATCTCAACTGAAATCAAATTGACCAGATTGATCAAGATCCAGCGAAGATGTTAAGAAATAGCCTGGTCGCTAGACCGCGGATCTTTGCGCGAGATAAAAATGGTCTGCATCGCGTGCACGAGACAGGAGTCCTTTTAAGTAAAGAACCTTTTCATTGTTCCAAATTACATCTATTCATCGTTGTCATAAATGAACAATATCCGCGGTCTACTTATCCGATCAACTGAAATAATTGAAACAACAACAAAAAGTCACTGAAAGTTTTCTAAGCGGTGGAAGATACTGTAGAGCATGTTCCAGTCGGAGGCTGCAACGTTTCTATTTTGAGATCAAGGTTTCTATTAATATCGCTTGTACATGAAAGCATTTTCTCTAAACGATTATCAATAGGAGAAAGTACTCTAAATTATGAGACCATTGGACAATGTCTCAGTGCGCCGCTGTAAACCATTCGGTTCTCAGCCTCCGACTGTTCTTTTTTTCTTTTCTTATGAAAACATGTTTCCTAGAACATGCTTCTTCGAACCTGCTACTTGCGATTCAGTAATGGCACCGCGCCAATCAATTATGTACACTTACCGACCGCCAAGGCGAGTTTATGAGCGGCCGTTTCAACGATCCCACGAACGCTATCCTTTTCCCTTGAACCAACCACCCCGGTCAGGTGAAAGCGCCCGTGAAAATAAACGTCGCGTTATACCCGTACAATTAGCCAGCCTCGGATACCATTGATAAGGAAATTTCACCTCCCGTGCACGCTCCGACGTACGTTTTCACCGGGCCGTTTCCTGTTTCGTGTACCGAGCGAGCGAGCAACTGAGGCCAATCATAAATCGCGCGATCGGTTTCCTGATACCGGGCTATAGTTACGCGTTTCCGGGATAATCAGTCCACGCCCATTTTCTTGCTGCGGGAAAAATGAAAATAGAGGCACCGTGGAAACCCCTTTCTCTCGGCGTGTCTCGAGGCAATCGACTCCGAATGGCTTCTATCTACCGGCGATTAATGGTTCGCGAGTCTCCAGGCATCGCAGGTCAACTGAAAAAGTTAAAACAAATTCAAATACGGTCTCTAGATGAACGAAATCTGCGGAGGAAAGTCTCCTGCAAATTTCTAATAAAATCACGCTTAGAGATAACGAACGAAAGTCTCGGCTTCTAACTTCTAGAACGCGATCGAATCCTTTGCGATTGGAAACACCTGTTACCTCTTTCTGATGTTTCAAATATCCAAAATGCTTGGAAATTTTTATGAATTAACCTTGCGCTTGTCCAAAGAATTTAACTGAATTAAACTTAATTCTTGAAGTCCGCTGACGGTGAAACACTTTTGAGATCGTCATGAGCCTCACGATGTTCTTTTTGTTTTACAGGTGCACTTGATCTGTATGCCGCCAAGCGGTGACATAAGCTGTAAGAAGAGTTCGCAGTATCACTTCGTCAACGAGTATCTGTACAAACCACTGAATCAGCAAGAGGTTGAGACGAAGCCGAATGTAACCCTAAGATACAGCGAGAGGTATTTCCCCGCTGACATTCATGCCGACGAGCGCGAGGCTGGTGACTATCAAATCACGCCAGCAGCTCCCATTCGTCGTCCACCGCAGCCGGTAAAACATTCATTCGCATGTACAAATTCGTTTTCAAGTGCCACGATTATTCTGTCACGTCTACAGTTTCTCATATAATGATACTTCTCTCTCACGATTACATACTCCTTTCTGATACATTTTCCATAAGTGTGATCGATTCATTATTATTTCATTTCTCCTGTTTCCATCTGTGACAGCTGATGGTAAGATTAACGAACATTATTATTGTGCAGATCTACTCAAGCTCACAGCCAGCATTGAACAGCATCCCACCGTCGGCTCGTCCGCAGTCCGCAGGACACCCACAATTCCGTCTGCCATTGAACCAGGTGTTCCGCAGCCCTGAGGAAGTGAACATTCCTCTTCAGCAGAGACGCCCGCAGCCACAGCATCAGTCACAGCCAGTGAGAAGATACCCTCAGGTGCGACCTGATGACGAGGAATACGAGTAAACAGGATCGGCAGGATCAATTGAAATAATTATCATTCATCGTCCACACTCACCGTCGTGTTTAAGTCATTAATAGACTGTGGAAGTTCGTGCACAAACCTGCATTATCATAGAGAATCGAACGTTCCCAATAAATTCGAAATGCGATGTTACATGAAATATCATGAAATATTTTGTAAATTGCTCGAAGGCTCGTCTACACTGTGAATCGCATAAAAGTCCGCAGTCTATTGATTACGTTTGCTGGAATCTCATCGTGATTATCGCGTCGAAATTGAATACGTAAGGGAAAGTAATTGCTATATATTTATTCGAGCGGATCGTAGCTGTGTACGTGGTATAAATTAATCGTAGAACGTAAATTATTCCACACTCTCATTCATCATTCCGTAGTACACCGATTAATCCCTTAGATCGAGATCGAATCGAGATTGTGATCGAAAACATCGATTAATATTGATGCATTAAGTTATATTTACCAGCTTGTTGTGGTGTTTTTCTTTTAAGGGGCCCGTGTCTATTTAGAAGATCATCCGATAATTATCGAATATCTGCGCAAATGATCAGTGATAATTTTAATGATATTACAAGCGGGCACGCTCTAACATGTAACGTGTAATCGATATTAGCATAACAGTGATGATGACCAATAAATTGTTATTGCGTTATTTTAAACAGCGCTTACTGTTTTATGAATGCGATCGCGAAGCTGTCGGTGATCATGTAATCGACTCGTAAGGATAATTAGAATTAAATGTGTGAACCAAGCAACATTATCGCCAATTCAAATTCGACGAGAAATTCAAACAGATGGCGCCCGTATGCGGGGAAACAGTCAAATCACCGTCTAAAAGTTTCCGCTGAATATTCCGCTATCCAACTACGGAAAACCTGTGATTTAAACAAATTAAATGATTTTTCTATTTTCATCGAGAAATAATATCGACTCTAGACATGTGTACGTATGTATATAATTAATAAAAAAAGCAATTGATGCAGCGTTTTGAATCACACGGTAAGTGCAGTTGCAAGAACGTCGCAATGAGATTCTTGTTGTATTCTTTTCTTTCCTTAAAGATTATCAACCTGTGAAACAATTTTACGAAACAATTGAGAGGAATACCGAGGAAACCGTAGTTTGTTTGAGATACCTTTTTCGTCGAATCGAACAGCCGCAGATCTGGAATTTGCATTGTTTGTTCTCACGCATGTTTGATGTGTAAGCTGTCGCCATATTGTTTGCATCACTATTGCCTTCCGAGTGAAAAACTTCGGGGTTAGAACGTGTGTGTCGGCAGTTCGTTTTGGTCTCTCGATGTCCGTGTGGATCCGTGTCGAGTTTGACTAGATTTACACAATCTCTTCGTTTATTGTTCGTTTCACTTGAACCACGAGTGACACGTTTTTGCCTTGCATTCATTGTTCGTACGTTCCGGAGTTGGTCCTGATAAACGACATTCGATCACGAAGATTTTCGGAATATGGCTGCTGCTGCTGCTGCTGCTCTCCTCGACGAGCTCATGGGAAGGAACCGAAACGTACTTCCCAATGAAAAACCGAAGGAACTCAATTGGGAAGATCCGGAGGTAGGTGAAAATATTGCGTCGATTATGTGATCGTCAAGGGGTTAGGGTACTGTAGAATTCCAAGAAATTGGAAAATTCGTTTCCGATTAATAAATACAAAATTAAATACAAAAGACCCTAGCCTTTAGTACACGCTAGATAGTACAGAACTATAAATGCGTATGCTTGAATGTATACATATATGTATACATATATATCGATTTTAATCTTTGACCCTTCTACAGTTTAATAAAATAACGAAAACTATTTTTGAAACTATCGATTTTCTCATGAATAAAAATGCATTTATTTGCACTTACAGAAATACAACAAATATGTGCAACAGAGGAATGGTATAGTGAACTGTGAAAGGGTTAGATGTATTTTTTTTTAGACAATGCTTCCTAAAATCCATGGAAAATTCTTGAAATTCTGTTTCTGTCACCGATTTTAAACTTTTCGGATTACTGTCATCATTTTAACATTTAACTGTTTCCTTGTTTCAGTTCTGTAAATTGTATTTAGTGAAATTTTGTCCTCATGACCTATTCGTTAATACGAGAGCAGACTTGGGTGCATGTTCTCGTGTACACGATGATGAAGCCAGAGAGCTGTTTGAGAAAGCACCTTACTCGTATCGGAAACAACAATATGAAGATGAATTCATTAGATTTTGTCAAAGTATGTTGAACGAAGTTGAGAGGAAGATCATAAAGGGAAAACAACGTTTGGCTCTTATTGGAAGAACAGAAGCTGTAAGAATAATTTCTAAAGAAATTTTAGAATTATCGGATAAAGTTGTAATAATGTACATGAGTTTATAACTGAAAAAGAATTGCTAAAACTAATGATGTCTCTTGTGCTTTTAGCCTACTCTAACACCAGCGCAGACTCAAAGAAATGAAGAACAAATCGCTCTGTTAACAGAGAAGATTAATAAATTAGTAGAGGAGGCAGAACAAAGTGGTATACAAGGCAATGTAGAACAAGCACAGGGCCTAATGAGATTATGTGACCAGTTAAAAGAAGAACGGGAAACACTTCGTAAATCCAATGATAACAGTCATTATAATCAAGTAAATATTGCATAGTATGTAATAAAACAAATAGCATTAAGAACGCGTGAAAGCTGGAATAATTTTTTCAGACTGCTGAATTAGCTGCTGCACAAGAAAAACAGATGGAGGTATGTGATGTATGTGGTGCATTTCTCATTGTTGGTGATGCTCAACAACGAATCGACGATCACCTCATGGGTAAACAACATGTTGGATATGCCAGGTTGAAAAGTGCCCTTCAAGAAATAATGGTAACCTGATACATATAATACAAATATTGTATTTAATCACTGACGCAATTTAACGCATTAACGCTATAAATATAACTTTGTAGAGTAAACGTGAAAAAGCACGAGATGAAAAAGAACAAAGAAGAGAAGAAGATAGGAAACAGAGAGCACGGGCTAATGAAGATCTCGACAGGCGAAGAAGGGACGGGGACAGAGACAGAGACCGAGATAGAGAAAGAGATAAACGTCGTAGACGTGATGATGATAAAGGCAGACACGACTCAAGCAGTCACAGGTAACTATACCTATATCAAATATTAGTGCTACTCCTTAAATACCTGCAAAGCGGGGGTTACTTATTAATCGCTTGGTACAAACATTTACGATATTATGTAATGAACATTCCATTCAGAAATTCTGGACATAGAAGTAGAAGCAGATCAAGAGATAAGCACGATAGACATCGAGATGATGATAATCACCGACGTCATCGAGATAAAGGTGAGTATCTAGTACGTTGTTAGCTACCGGAAATAAGTAATATTTTTGTAAGATATAATAATTCCTTTTGACACAATATAATCATTACAAAGCTTATTAATATTTTTAGGAAGTCGTGATCATCGAAGTTCGAGTCATCACGCTCGTCGTCGCCATCGATCTAGAAGTCGAAGTCACAAGTAACTACTCTTGATTGGTTAGTGAGTGAGAAGTAAGCCAGGTATGCACTAAACAATATACCATATTCGTCTCAATTACTGTACAGGTTCTTTACCAGGTGAGTTTCATTAGATGCACATAATTTATACATGATAATTATCTGTAATTTTGAAGAATGGCATAGTCACAGCGAGCCAGTCTCTGGTCCTGCCTAATAATCGGAGAAACACTCTTACTAAATTTCATATGGACCTGATTGTACAGCGTTTAATTTTCAAAGTGACGTGCTTGCTCTATGTAACATAGTACTGAAAAAAGGTGCATCGAGGTAATGTCGAGCGAGGAGTAGTAAAAGTCGTTCCCATACGAAAGGTATTTTTATCATGTAGTATTATAGATATTGTCTACAGAGCAAGATAGGAGAAGGTATACCTATGCTTGCTTTGATCGGTTTAATGTCTTCATAGGGTAAATCAATTATATAATTTCAACGACAGCATAGCTTTTTTATCGAAAAGAAATTAGTGGTTTAGTGGAGGAAAACAGTGCCTACTTCCGTAGACCTGCCACAACAGTGCCCTGTGTGACTGTGACTATACAATCCTAGCTTCTACTACGCATTTCTGAGGTATTTATATCGGAATGATAATACCAAACATGTCCTTTTATTAGGAAAATTAGACATTTTGAAAACGGTGATCTTTATTTTGGAGCGATACTCGAGTGCTTTAAAAGTTACGATAACAAACTCCTGCTCTTACTTTCCTTATTCCCTAATTGTGATTTATTGGAGCATATTCAGTTTAAAGCTGAGCTAATCTACCTATCAACTAGCGAGGGAAGTTATGTAGGTTCAATGGAGAGTAATTTTAATAATTCAACTTTAGAACAAAGAATCCGCACGTATAGTCCAGAGATATAAAACCGACTCATTTAACAGCCGTCCCGGCTATGATTGATGAAGCGAATGAATTAATTGGGCTTGTAAGTTGGCATATAGTCGCAAATCATATGAATCAATTTTCTTCAGAGAAGTTCGTGAAATATTTTATCACATGTATCATGCTGAATACTCTTCTTCCCTTTGCATGCCTTTTCTCTTCGCTATTTTTAGTTCTGATAGACTCAGGACGTAGGCGAAGCTCAGTCAAATTTTCTAATTAGAGAGTCGTGATCTCTTAGCGTCATCGTACATCAATTCGAAGGTTGATGACAGGTCACATGGAATCATGTATTATATATGTATATGTATGGTGCTCCGAGGAGATCCCCTTGAATCGTATCTTGTCTCATTCTTTTTTGCCGTGTCCTCATTTCGGCTTGATAGAAGACTCATACTTTATACGCGCACTACATTTGTGTGATTCGTGTTTGTTCATAATAAATGGTACACACATACAATAATCTGCTTCTCGAAGCAACTAGACATAAAGATCAGATTACAAAAATAATAGCTTACAACAGAAGATCATCTTATATTGTCACATTGAGATGAATGAAATTCTATTCTTTGGAAAGAATGAACTCCAAGAATATATGCTAACTTAGTTTAAATATTAATATTTTTTATATTGATTTTTACATTCGCGATTGATATCAATTCTTTTATTAACAACTGTATTGTTAAGCATAAACATTTAAGTTTTATATGCATATTGTTTTTGTTTTCAATGTTACAACCGAAGATGATCATTTTTAATTTATTATCTGCTTTCCCACACATGTAGCCGACAGAAGTATGATATACTTTTTTTTTTAATTATTTCGTGTATTAAGGCAAGGTTAACAAATAATATACAGATACACGTTATCTAGGTGTTTGGTAACAATCGAAATTAATATGAGATGAAACCAGTAACGGAAATATAATCTCTAATAAATGTGTTGTCTATTTTCAGACAAAAGGGGACATACCATGGGGATGTAACCAATGCAACAGGCTCACTTGCACACTGCTTAATGTAATATTAAGGTAAAGATTTTGCATAATCTAAAAATTCAAATGAGATCGTAATTTTTATACAACTGCGCCTGAATTAATTTTCACCATGTCGCGGTGCTTTGAAATTAATTACGGAGAAATAAAATATCATGAAGTTCGATTTTGAATTAGCATTGTCAACGTTATGTCACAAATATCAGAAATATGTTTAAATCAGTTTTACTAGCAGTTTATTCATATTTGATGCAAATGTTACTTTTAAACTATCTGTATATATATACATACCTATATTAAAACAAAGACAACAAGGTAAATTGTTTATAATTTGCATTGTAATACTCGTAAGATTGTTAATTGAAATTAATAAAACAGTACTACTATAAAAAAAAGACGTACAAATACTTCTAAAATGATCAGAACCCAATGATTATGAATAGATCAATGAAAATGTATAACATTGTGTAATATTGAAGGAACTGTATAATTTATTAAATAAGTATATACATCAATAATACATTATCGAGCGATAGGATATACTCTATCCAAATACTGTACATAGTAGTAATATTTGCTATATTACATTGTTTGCTATTATCAAATCTTTGTACAAACTAAAAATACTGTACATCAAGTGTAAATAGTTGGTTGAGCGACTTTCGATTTGCTGTATATCAATTGTTTACTTACACCCAGCTTTCATGTCCACAGACACCAAACAATTTATAGCATACCATTCAGTGGAAACAATTTTATTTAAGTCCCATACTTTTTGTAACCTAAAGATAATATATTAAATAATTAGTGTGACCTGTTTTTAGAATTGTCTTAATAATAAAAAGCAGAAAAGATTTGTCAAAAGTTATGCTACCTCTTCATATACAGTCCAAGCCATTGCGGTTACTAACGTCCTTCTTAACATTCGTGGCACAATACCTTTGAAATATCCCAACACACCATATTTTTTGTAAACCCTGAAGATCGCATTACGAATGCCTTTAAATTCATTCGGATATAGCTGCATCTTCGTTTTAATTACGTCAGCTGGTTGTGTAACAGTAGAAGCAAGCATTCCTGCTAGTATTCCACAACTAAAATTAATGGGAGCTGACAATTTGGCGCATGGTAAATCTAAAAATAAATATATCCGTTATAACTATCTCCTAGAAATTTAATTGTGTTTTTTTAGCAGCAATTACCTGTTTCTACGACGATACTTTTTAATCGAGTGTAAAACATGAGATAAAGACCGCTAAATGGAGCGTCTCTTAGTAATGTCGGTATTAATCCGCTTGAAAGTCCTCTAACTCCCTCCTGCTTGTAAATTAATCTCAGTGCTTCTCTCATGCTATTGTACTTATAAACATCGCTCTATAAAGTTAAATTGTTATCATTGAATTATTTACTCTTAAGAAAGTTTTATAAAGCTGAAAGCTGACTATTATACGTACTTCAAAACGCGTTTTCACTACTGTTATTGGAATTAATAATGCACCGGACATTGATCTTGCGGTAACGCCCAAAAACATAGCTTCTGTTGAGGTGAGAGGATCTTTTAAATGGAATGTGTGTTTTAACCAATGTATAGATGAAAAATATAATCCTACACCAGGAATGACTCTGGTAATGGACTAAAAAAATATTTTCAATAAGTATTCTTCTTTAATATATTTATATTGAATAACTATTGAATTAACTACTTACTGGTGTCATACCCCTCCAGAGTCCGAACACATGTTCTTTTTCGATTATATGAATTAAAGTTCCTACTGTCCCATTTCTTGGAGAACTAACAAAAGAATATAATAAAGTAAATTTTGAGTAAAGTGATTTGAAAATTGAGAATATCTTTTTTCACTTACTCAAGATGAAGGTTCACTGTACTTTGAAGTCTTGTTTTGATAAGATCTAATGGTTGGAACAAAATAGTTGAAAATGTGCCAGACAATGATCCCGCAAGAAAGGACTTCAGTATAGGATACTAAAAAATTACAAAATATCTGTCTATTATAATGTATTTTATAGTATTTGGGAAATCTTATTACAAAACTAAGTTCCGAACGTTAAATTTATAATCGAACAAACACACAGATAATGGTATATCAGTAATATAATATATTATTATATTACATATTATCTTGCACGAGTTTGCTCACGTGAATTATAAATTTCCTTTCAAACGTCAATATAGTCACTATCTACAGAATAAAGTCCCAAAGGTTATCATTATTTGTAAGCACAATTTTTTCTTCTTTACAAGCATAATATACTAATTGTGCTTGTTAGTTGTAAAGTATTATCATGATATTTTTATGTGGGAAACATATTCTGTTGTAACTAAAGTATTATTAATTTTACCATTATCATACCATGCAAAAATGTAATAGTTATTTTATTTTATAATAATTCAATGTTCATATAGTCGTAGAATAGATAATGAATTATTTTCTTTTTCAGCTTGTACATGTAAGTTTGGGACATTAAACTTACAAATTCATAATACAAATGAACACATGAGACTAAATGGTGAATACAGCTCCACATTTATCATCCTCCATCCAGTACACCCTTTGTAATTAGAGGTATTTCTCATAGAAATATTTAAATTACTTTTATTTCATTCAATGCTCATAGAAAATAATGTTCAAATTCTGTTTGTAATAATTTTATAGTACCTCGATAATTTAGGGAAGCAACAAGATCTTGATATGAATGCAATAAGAAATCATTTTTATTTCTATTATTATAATTTATGTAACTAAATAACTTATACATACAAAATCATAGTCTATAACAAGTTCATATTTTGAAATTCAAGAAATGGAGTACTTACAGATACCACAGCTTCCATGACAATATAAAATGTACCGGAAACTTGGAAAATAAATATATTTGAGTTGGAGTTGTAGTAAATCAAGGTGTTCTTTAGCAAATCACGAGACTGAGCTATAATGTTCTTTTATGCTTCCTTCGGTGTCAATAAGATACTGAGTTCATTGAAAACGTGACGGCTACTTACATCTTCTCTTATCTTCGTTTCACCACTTTCGGGGTCAACAGTATAACCCTGCATGTCAAAACATAGTCAGGGAAAAGGTCCGAAAGGTCAAACTGAAACGTGAATTAAACGTGACTTAGTGGTAAACGTGACTTACTCCATTATATGGTTTATCTGAAGATACGGAAATTTCATAAGCACACTTCAGTTATATACTTAAACATTTTATTAGATGATAAAGTCAAATTATTGTTGGCAGATATATTTTTAAATGTTTCATAATAATAAAATATCTTTAATTATTAACAAAACATGTTTACATGTAATAATCACAGTTAGGTTAGAATGAAAAAATTTACAATTCAAAGTTCTATTGTACTTCATTCGTCACAAATTCACTCTTATTTTTTTACAAACTATGCTACTTATTTATTATTCAAGTGGTAAATACGATAATATCATTGTAAAAGCCCATACTTCATAAATTTATTTACGAATATTAATAGTATAAAAACATCGACAACAATAAAAAGACATGAATATGTGTTTAAAAATCCCCAAAATGATAAAGACTTTCGTTATCTACTACGGTTTTAAAGTCTTTGACATCAACATAAATTCTTCTTCGATGTTTGTCAATGATGTGCAAATAAAATGCGTATTCTATGACGTATTGTTTGTTCCATATCTACAACGACATTTCACAATTGAAAATTAATTAAACCAATTGTCTGGTAAATAGATTGCGTAAAAATTCTAGAAATTACTGTACATAAGTTTTCATTGTAGCCACTTCAAATACGTGGCTAAATATGTATGCATGCATGCATGTATGTATATGTGTACACACATACAAATTGCATGCATCTATTCTGGCTTATCCAGTCTTATCACATTCAGTTTGATACGAATGCTTAAAATAGATATGTATTACCTAAATAGTAAGTGTAAAAATAAATATAAATATTACAATATGCTATTTTTAATAAAGGTGAACATGTTTAATGTATAAAATTATAATTATTTGCTATATATTTTAATGTACGAAGACTAAAAATATACATTCTATATTATGTATGTGTTAATTTTGTTTCAATAAATGTACATAATGTGTTTTGTCGTATTCAGAATATACATGGAATTTTTACGTTTTTTTTTATTATGAACAACATAAAGTACGACTGCTTATTAGACTTTTGTATACAAAGTAAATTACGGTCGATATTACAGGTTCGAGATTGATACAGTTACAAAATAGTTCGAATTTCCGGTTCTGGCGCTGCATTCGTCGTTTTCCGTGTTCGTGCGAGTATGCGAGAAATTCTGCCATTTCTTTTCCAGTTGTGACGACGTATGGTCGGTGTACTTAGGAGACTGAGTAAGTACCATTTATTCCTTAAATATTCTTGAAATTATTATTTTTTTAAGTTCGTAGAACATTATTAAAATGATTTTGTTTAACAAATGATATAAATTATGATATTATATTTATCATTTATCGTTGTATAGCCTTTCGAATATATATAGTCTTCCTCACCACGTGTCTCCATGCTTCTTTGATCAAATTTTAATAGATTTACGGTATCTTAATAGATTTAATTAACGTAAATATAATTATGTATAATTACATTCTATGAAGCGAAATGAAATAAAGTATTATTTTTTAATATTCACGCTGTTTAGTTGTGAACATATACACAATGTGGTTACCACGTGTCCATTTTACTTTAAGCGCATAAAATAATGACCATTTATTCTAATTATTAATGTATTCATTTGTTTTTTTTTTATTTTATTAAATTGCTTTACTGTTTGTAGGTAACGACTATACAAAATGGTAAACGGACGAATTCCGTCAGTCTTCTCAAAGACTTATGTCACACCCAGGAGACCTTATGAAAAGGCTCGTTTAGATCAGGAGTTACGTATTATTGGTGAATACGGTCTCCGTAACAAACGTGAAGTATGGAGAGTCAAGTATACGCTTGCAAATATCAGAAAAGCTGCTCGTGAGCTGCTTACGCTTGAAGAGAAAGATCCCAAACGTCTGTTTGAAGGTATTGATTCAGTTGCTCATAGTGAAGAGTAAAAGTAGAATTTTTGTTAATAAGATGATGAGTATAAAAATATTCTGACACTTCTTGTCCTAAAATTTTTGAGGACTGGTTTTTAGTACTGAATACCAATGATGAGTTCATATTTGCATTTCGTTTGTCTATCCTTTTTTAATTGAAGTTTCTGTTACTAGGAAACGCTCTGTTGCGTCGCCTAGTAAGAATCGGCGTATTGGATGAGAGCCGCATGAAACTCGATTACGTTCTTGGTTTGAAGATTGAAGATTTCTTGGAGAGACGCCTTCAAACTCAAGTATTCAAATTGGGACTTGCCAAATCTATTCACCATGCTCGTGTGCTTATTCGCCAACGTCACATTCGGTTGGTACTTTCAGATATATGTTCGCAAAAGCCTTAAAATTTGGGCAAGAAATATCTGATCATGCACAGATTATTTCTAATCTTTAAGGCAATATCAATGTCCTGTTTTAATCACCAGTTTAGATGCATCAAATCACTATTCTGGTTTCATGACCAGGAGACATTTCAAATAATTTATATCTACTTGTTAGCAATGATGTTAATACCAATGTCCGATTCATTGATACAATTAGAACATAATAGTCTTTTGACTACCACAGGTATCCAAACAATTTACGCGGTTGATAGCCGAAAATGTTTTAAAAAAGCATGACATTAAGTATGGACGAGCAATTACGATGTTAATCTCGAGAGCTGTTTTTGTTTCAGACAGGCCACTTGAGTGTCAGGAAACTGGCACTCAACGTCTGTCGTACTAGCGGGGATCTATGCACATTGATAATGATTGGTATTTACTTTGTTCATTAAATAACGTCCAGTAATGTACTAAAAAATGGAAGGTATATTATGGGGTAGGTATAGAAAATAAACGTGGATGATAAATCTTGTTTCAGAGTACGCAAACAGGTGGTGAACATTCCATCCTTCATCGTGCGTTTAGATTCGCAGAAGCACATTGACTTCTCACTGAAATCGCCATTCGGTGGTGGCAGACCTGGCCGTGTAAAGAGGAAGAACCTGCGAAAGGGAAGTGGTGGAGCTGCTCCGGAGGAAGAAGAAGATTAAACAATGATATAATACTTTAATAAAAGTATCTTTTAAATAAAGAAAGAATTAATTTCCTATTTTGTTCAATCCTCTCCCATTTAAAAAAAATCCTTTCTTTACATGTTTAGTATTAAGTATAGAATCGATCAATTTTGTTCATAAGATCCTAATTGTCCTTCAATGGAAGCGTAGAATAAGAAGACTGTGTCAACAGTAATGAGAGTGAAAAATCTATCTTTGTTGACTCAAGTTAGCAATTGTAATTATGTACACAGAAAATGTTAATAAAAAAATTTATGAATAATTGGGAAATACAGAAGTGAATATACACAACATGTTGCATCTAAATTTGTAAGTAAGCATATGGATAGTGCCTGCAGTATGATCCGTTAACGGGGGTCAATATAGAAATTTTCTTTACTCTGATTAGCTTACTGCTGAGATATGATCCACTGCAGATTGGAAGCGCAGTAAAATGGTGGGGATGTGCGCGCTAGCTTAGTGAATAAGAAAAGTGTGCAGGCCGCGTTATTATATTTCTGAGAGCTTTACCCCCGACATCGCTCAGTGCAGCTCAGTATGCCGAGGGACTACTGTGAACATTGACCACTTCCATATCTCAAAGGCTGCATTAAATGCATAAGGGTGACCTGCTGCCACTTTCACTTCATACTGCGTGTGCTTAGAGGTTTCCAACATGGTGAAGAAAACGTTGGCGGACAAAACGCCTCAAAACGAAGATTCTGTGAAAAATAATGACGATTTATTAAACGACGACGAAGAGGCAAATTTCAGTGACCCTGAAGGATTTGTCGATGATATCACTGATGAAGGTAAACCCGATTTTTAATGAATGACACGAAACGCAACCTGTGGTACGGTGACTGAAGGCATGGCTGCGTATAGTCGCAAATGTGGCACGCGTACATAACCTCTTCAGTCACGATTATTGTACGAAAAAGTTTCACTGAAATTCATTAAAATATAGCATAGAGATGGTAGAATAAGGTCTCACGTTGTACAATGTCGACAGCAAAAAATAATTCCTTATGCTTTTTGTGTTTACAGAACTTCTTGGTGACATACTGAAGCAAAAACCATCAGAGACAGATGGTGTGGAATCAGTGATTGTCATCGACGGTGTTCCTCAAGTTGAACCAGAAAGATTAGAAAAACTTCAATCGGTCATTAGCAAAGTCTTAGGAAAATTTGGTACAATAGTAAACCAATACTATCCTAAAAATGAAAATGGACACACAAAAGGGTATGTTTATCTATTCTTAGATCTACAACACATTATTTCACAATCTACGATATAATGTTGTCACTTGATATGACGATTTTGTAAAAATTATTCTATCGATTGCCCAAACAAATTTATATCAGTAACCCATAAAAGAAAACAAGTGGAAAATATACCTGTAAAACCATTGTAAACAATTTTATGCAGAGATTAAAATATCTTTCTTTATTGCAGATACATATTTTTAGAGTACAATAATCCTCTAAATGCCTTAGCAGCTGCTCAATCTGTAAATAATTACAAAATTGATAAACAACACACATTTAAAGTAAATTTATTTACTGACTTCAAGAAGTTCGAGGAGATTTCAGAAGAATGGGAACCTCCCAAACCACAGCCATTCAAAGCAGCAACAGACTTACATTACTATCTTCTAGAACCAGATGCTTACGATCAGTTTTGTGTACTTTGTGGTAATGGCCCCTCTGTTACTGTTCAGGTTTGGCAGAATTCTGCTCCTGAACCAACATTACTTGAAGAACGTTCTGTAAGATATTTTTTATTTAATTTATTATCTAAATTATGAAGTATGTTGTTCATAATACATACAATAATTGCTTATTTCGAACAGCGTTGGACCGAGACTTACGTCAAATGGTCTCCACTGGGAACATATTTGTCAACATTTCACAAACTCGGTGTCGCATTGTGGGGAGGTCCACCATTTTTACAACAAGCGAAATTCGGTCAGAAGGGTGTTGAATGCATTGATTTTTCACCTTGTGAACGTTACGTAGTAACTTACACTCCTCGCACTGATCTTGGTTCTGATCAGAAGCGACTCGTAATTTGGGATATTTTGACCGTTCAGGAAAAACGTTCATTTCAAGCAGACGGTTCCTCCGTGTGGCCCATCTTCCGATGGTCATACGATGACAAATATCTTGCTCGCATGGGAGAAGATATCTTGAGTGTCTATGAAACACCGGTACGCTTTCTATTTTGAATACTATCTATGACACAGTTATTTATATTATTATTAATTGATTCATAAATTTCTAGTCATTTGGATTGTTAGACAAGAGAAGTATAAAGATCCCTGGAATCAGAGATTTCAGTTGGTCTCCTACAGATAATATCCTTGCCTACTGGGTACCTGAAGATAAAGATGTTCCAGCTAGAGTGACCCTTCTCGAAATTCCAAAGTAATAATTTTCACAGATTTAGCGTGTAATCACATCTCTGTACAAAAATATTAATTATTATTTTATTTCAGCCGTAATGAAATACGTAACAAGAACTTGTTTAACGTGGCCGACTGTAAAATTTATTGGCAGAAGTCTGGGGATTATCTTTGCGTGAAAGTAGATCGTTTCGCCAAACGTAAAGAAAAAACGGAGCAGAAGTACACGGTATTTATATTAATCTTCCAATATAGCTGAAGGATTTTATACAATGTATGTGCATAATCAATTAAAGGTTTATTACCAGGGTATGTCGTACAACTTCGAAATCTTCCACATGAGGGAAAAACAAATTCCAGTCGACAGTGTGGAAATTAAAGAACCGATTCATGCCTTTGCTTGGGAACCTGTTGGAAGCAAATTCGCCATTATTCATGGAGAGATTCCTAGCGTTAATGTTAGTTTCTATGAAGTACGGTACGGTCATCAGCCTGCTCTTCTCAGTAAGTTTAAAAAATTGTGTAATACTTCTTAATATAAGAAGAATATTGTGTTTAATATTTGTTTCATTTAACAGAGAAATTGGAGAAGAAAGCTTGCAATCATTTATTCTGGTCGCCTTCCGGTCAATTTATTGTTCTCGCGGGGTTAACAACCATGGCAGGCGCTTTGGAGTTTATTGACACTAATGATTTTACTATCATGAACTCTACAGACCATTATCAAACGTCTGACGTAGAATGGGATCCTACCGGACGGTGAGAATATATTTATTTTTTTATTAATCTCAGATTTTAATGAATAAGATGATTTAAACGTGGATTTTGTTACAGATATGTTGTAACAGCCGTTTCTAGTTGGAAGACCAGTGTTGATAATGGATACTGGATATGGACTTTCCAGGGACGTATCTTAAAGAGGGTTAATCTTAACCAATTCAACCAACTGTTATGGCGTCCAAGACCACCAACATTGTTGACACCGGAACAAATTAAGGAGATCAAAAAGAATTTGAAGAAATATTCCGCTCAATTCGAAAGCAAAGATCGCATGCGATTAACGCGTGCCTCGAAGGTACCTATTCAAGAAAAATGTCGCGTATCTAAAATTTGTGAAACAATTTATGAATGAAATTATTTTGCAGGAATTAATTGAGAAACGATGTGCAGCGATGAAGTCATTCGAAGAATACAGATCGCAGCGCATACAAGAATGGAACAACCAGAAGAAACGACGTTTAGAACTACGCAATAGTATGTAACACAATAATTTCTCTAGCATTAAGTTCAAAGTATTTGTAATGCATAACATTGAAATTATTTTGTTTCCTCAGATATCGATACAGATGAGTTAGATTCTGATTCGAAGAATGTGGAAGAAGAAGTAATCGAATTTTTCGTCAAAGAAGAGACATTCGTTATCGACGACAAATAAATCTTTGTGGGAGAAACTTTCTTCTATTTGCCATTTTTGGGAAATCTCTAGTGCAAAACCGATTCAATCATTTGTGCAAAGTGTCATCAAAACAATAATCTTTCGGAGTCACATTAACCGTGACTCCCAATAGTGGACAATGACTATTCTAAGTGATTACGAACAGTTTTTCTTATATTACTTCTGCAGTTTAACTCGGATCATTTCTATCGTATCGACGTTTCGTATAAAACGCCGCAACCGTAGTACTATAAAGTTTTATCATGTTCCATACAGGATAGTATGTCAATCAGCAAATAATTATTATCAGTATAACCTCAGAATAATGTACTTTTTATTTATCAAACCCATATAACACGGATCTATGAAATCGATCATATTTATTAACGGAGAGGGACTTCTAGATTTCTTATTTATATTTTATCACTAATTTTAAATACTGTACATTATTAAAAAAAAAAAAACTATAAATCAATAATCCGATAATGTGGTTCTTATTTACATCTTTATTTTATACAATCAATATATTTCGTCATTCTTGAAGAAAAACTCGTATAAATTAATTTCTTTGCTTATATGAAATAAATACTATTTAGATTGTATACGGTAGAAATTCGACGCAAATGATATACTATTTAGAAATAGTATCTAAATACAGCTACGGCAGCGCAAACCCAGGTTGGAGGAATTCTATTTTGCTCAGTAAATGTTCCTTTCGTTACGGGTTTTGCAGATGCAAATAATCGTTCGTATTCTTTTTGTAATTCACTTTGTAATTTTCGATTTTTTGTTATTACAGCAATTTGAGTTTCCAAATCTTTGCTTACCGATCTGTACCCTAAAATTGATATTATTTCTCCAGTTATTCAAAGATATTATATGTTATATTATATATTTTTCTAACTATAATCTTTACCAAAATTGGGCGATCCGATAAGCGTTAGACTCGGTGTTTTTTGACCAGGCAGGGAATACCATAATCCTTTTGCGTGGTATGTCCAGCCTGGTTTTATAAATTCCCACAGTTTGATCCTATCTTCTTGGCCCATGTTAGTGCAACGTTTGATGAATGATTCCTCTATTTTTGTATACGCTGCTGGAATACCGCCAGCCACTCCTTTTGCAGCTAAATGTGATATTTATTTTAACAATGAGATATCCTCGACTTTTTACTTTACACATATATAAATGTAACGTACAGAAAAAGCCATTGGCAGTTGGATGTGCTGTTAACAGGTGGCACGTTCCTTGACAGTCTTTAAGTAATGCATCACTGTATTCCGAAGTTAAATTAAAATAGCCTGTCGCAAGCCTAAGCGTGGCACCTGGTTGTGCTGTTTGTAGAAGCTTTAATGTAATATAACTGTCATGGTAAATGTTTAATTGACCCATTTGTATCAACGGAAAAATCCATGTGTCCGCATTCGAATCTTTGGCTACCGAATAATTTTAATATTATCTCAAACAATTTATGCTCATATACACATATATATGTATTTTATACGTACATATTTTTTCAACATTGGAACGTTTTTCAAATTCCTTGAGAAATAGAGCTTTTACACTACGTGCAGCTTCTTCAATGAATTTTACTGGTTTGTCTTTAAAGGGGTGAATATTTTTGGTCGAATTTAATACTGTGGTACCATCCTGTTTGAGGACAAAACTGAATTCTCCTACTTTCTCAACGAGTTCGTTATAAAAATCACAAAGCTCTTTGCAGTCCTCTATTAGAAAATACCGATCTTGTCTGTTTGTGAAGTAATCATTACTAAGATTAGCACTGAAAAGTATTAGTTAATATTTGACATTTGCTTAGTTGAAATTGCTTTATGTGAAGATATAAATTTGATTATTCACCCACTAATTATCAGATCATTATCTATCATGTATAATTTCATATGTTGCAATCCTACTAATTCATTGAAGCGGACTGGGATTATCATCTTTAAGATACCTCGTAACTTAGGGGTATGATACAGGAATATCTGACAGCAATGACCATATTTACCGTTAAGCAAGGGTTGCAACATTTTACACGAATTTAATTTACCTCTAGATCCTCTCATGTAATCAAACAAAAGTTTAACTTCAATATTACCATTACTCAAACTTAAAGCTTTATCTATGGCTTCTACCTATAAAAAAGAAAAAATTAATATAATTAATTATCTCTTCTATAATGCTTTCAGTTATTGAACATACTTACTAAATCTGATTCTAATTTTCCTGTGCCTAGGTATAGCGATGCAAATGTTATTCTCTTCTTTGCATTCTTACACTTTTCCACAAGACATGAATAAAATATGCCTGGTTCATCAATTATTTTAATCTGGTACGAAAGAATAAATTTACTGAATCAATTTCTGATTTAATATTTGTACATTTAATTCGTTGTTTTTACCTTAGATCCGTCTACAGGAAAACAAGGCGCAACTTTGTACAACCAAGATAATGCATGAAATTCGGGTTGTGCCATCTCATCTTCGAAAATTTTCTCCTCGTCTAGCATAGCAATCTGTATGATATTTCTTTTGACAAGGGATTCGTTGTGAATCTTAATATCTGTATTATTGCTGGTTAACAGCTTCTTCGAAGGAAACCTGCGTAAACGTAATTTATAAAACAGGTGGTAACATTTCGCTTCAATTCAAGAACCAAGATTAATTGAGTTTCATTTATAAAATGTCAAATATCGTCTATCGAAATCGACCCTGACCATTTCCATTTACATGCTTCTAATCAAATTTTACACATCGAAAAGTCGTATTACTTTTAAATATATTCTCGAGATATTGAGTTTCCTCGAAACTCATCTTAACATTTCACAGAATCGATCGAATGTTATTAAAACGCATGACACATCTTTGTCACGTCAAACGCGCGTACAAGGTTAACACACATTTATTTATCTTTAAATCAATTAAATTTAACGCGACACGCGTCGTATGCTACATCCTCGTGTTCCGCTCACCGTTTAAAATTTTTCCAGATCACGCTATGCATGAGTAGTTTCTCATATAATAAATCATCAAAGAATAAATCTTTCAAATCGCAATCTAAACTCTTCCCTCGCGAATACGAAATTCATCACGCGCAATCTTCTGGATTTTTCTGGCACCACGGCGATGTAGAACCATAGACTCATCGAACTTGAGATTTAACGAGAAGATGAATCTGGATAAATTGTTCGTAAATTACAATATCATCGTGGCATTTTATTATTATTAATTATATATTCTGTTGTCGTTTCGATGCAGCAAATTCTCCCGAATAGTTCTGCGTCCTTGGTTTGGTTTTTTTATGCCCTAATATTGTGGGCGATCGTGACGCCTCTTGCGGAGAAAAAATGAAACTTTGACCCTGCGTTCAAATAGTGGGCGATTGTGGCGCCTCTCGTGGAGAGAAAGTGAAGCTTTGCCGGGGTCCGTACAGCGCCAATTAGTACGGTGGCAAAACGCTCAAACTGTTCGCCATATTACCGACGGTCGATTTTGGCCAACAGTTTGAGCGTTTTGCCACCGTACTAATTGGCGCTGTACGGACCCCGGCAAAGCTTCACCTTTTCTCCGTGAGAGGCGCCACAATCGCCCACTATTTTAACGCAGGGACGCCTAAAAACATTAATTATTGCAAAATTAGGGCATAAAAAACTAAACCAAGGCACAGAATTGTTCAGGAGAATCTACTGCATCGAATCTACTAATCCTTCCTTTTTATTGCCTTCATTTCAGCTTAAATTTGTTCGATAATCTCGAGAAGATATGTACATCATATTGAATTATATTATATTAAATCATATTATTGCAAAATTAGGGCATAAAAAACTAAACCAAGGGCACTAAATTGTTCAGGAGAATCTACTATATTGTAATTGAAAATTGTTTTAAGGGTGCTAAAAAAATCCACGCAATTGATTAATTTCACGTGAAATATTTATATATTGCAAAATTCTCCGCAAATTAACAAAGAAACCTTCGACGATTTGAAAACAAATACGTCGGATGCATTTAGTTGAAAACAAATAAATCGGTCACCTCGTTCTGATATATTGAAATATTGAATTTTGATGCGACATCGACGAGAATTCAGTTGTCGAATCACGTAATTGACAATTAGAGAAACTTGTTATTACGCGTACGGCAGACGTAGCACCGAATCTTTGTGATTTTTCCTCAACTGTTGCATGTCAACTACAGTTTTTTCTCCTTTCAATCGGACCGAAGACACAGATCCTCGTAAAATAACTAATTTATTTATTTATCCTTTCCTGCAACCGTTTATCTCGGACGCATCTTCGTAACAGGCGAGCCAATCACGTTATTATTTCTTGCAAATCAGGTGCTCGATTAAGTAACACCATGAATTTTAATGTTGTGCGCTAAAGCTTATTTACGTTAAGATAGGCTCTCCCTAATTGGTACGATTATTCGAGCCTCGTGGCTCCTTTTTATAGTTGTCGGCAATCAATTATTGTCGGCAATCGGTAACTATAAAAACGAACCGCGAGGCTCGAATAATCGTACCTCCGTTTCTAAAATTGTCCATTTTTTTTGCGCAATCTGTGCGTCAATCAGGGAGAATTTACTGTGATTTACTTTGAATTTACTTTGATTCTTGTATCTTGTATTAATCAAATCATTATCGAACGAAGTAACGTCTCACCTGGACAAAAGAAATCATTCGCTATACTACAAGCAATCACGCGCGCATTCAGTTGTAACGGAAAAGATAATTAGGGAGACGTCCTAATCCGGACGCGTGCATCCGGCGTAAAATTTGAGAATTCATTCCGAGAAAACGAACGAATCCAGGTGGCTCGAAATTCGTATCTGCGTTTGTCCATGTTCGAAGTAACTGACGATTGTGGACGCTATTAACGAGAACAGAGGGAAACAAAAGTTGTCCGGCAACGTCGACGGATCTTTATTTAGATACACATTTTATCGGTTTCTTATTTACGCTGCGTACTGTGAAACGATCGATCTATGAAAGCACAGGTATAATAGTCCAACACGTGTCTTTATTTGTCCGATGCTTTTTGCCATCGACAAAGATCATGCCTATTGCGTCGAAACCAAACCACGATCCAATCATAATATTGTTTTATTGCCTGGATCTGGAACTCGATTGATATTAATGATAGCAATTATGGCACCGGTAGCCGCGAACGGACTTTCAAACGCGCGCGAAACGAAAACGAGCCGTTTATTCTGAAAGTGGCATAAGTCACTTTTTCAAGAAAATCGAGTTAATGGTAACACTAATTACAATTGAACGGTATCTTTACATTTAAAAGAAAAAAAGAAAAAAAATGACTTATGTCACGTTCAAAATAAACGGCTCAAACATGTATGTATTTCACCCTCTTCTTTCGCCGATCGTTTCGTACGTGATCTATTTAATTATTAACCCCTTAACTTGTACGCTCGAGTTAATTCGAGCACGCTAAACAGGCCAAACTGTGCGCACTCGAGATAATTCGAGCGGCGTTGTATTTTATGCTGCTATAATTTTTCACACTCGAATATAACCGAGAATTGAAAATAATAATGTGAAAGCAAAGAAAAAATATCGTTTTATTGATATTTATCATTTACATGGGATTGTAGGCTATAATACTTATTTATTCAAGAATAAAATATAGCCTTTTTCCATGGAACAAAAAAGCGCAGTATATCAAAATTCTCCATGAAAATGATTCCTTTTGGCCGGTTTTTCTCAAAGAAACTGTGCGTTAAGGGGTTAAATTTACCGTTTAATTTACTGTACAGCAATTTCTCCCTAATTCGCGGACAAGATCGCGCGCAAGAATGGACGATTTAGGAAGAGGAGATACGATTGTCCGAGTCTCGCGTCTCGCGTTTATGGTTGTGACGATCGGTGACCATAAAAATGATAAGATCACGGGCGTCGTCGCGGAATGATGAATCAACGAGGAGCTCTGCTATACGCGTTGCATAAATGCATAAAGATGCGCGCTCTTCTTATAATAGCCCCGGCGTTTCGTCACAGAAGCGAAGGACGATACTTTTTGTCGCACGAATTAAGGTCGTCGCGTTGAAAAAAAATTTCAATATTGTCGCATCTTTTGCTCACTATTCGAGAGAACGGTCGAACGGCCGGATTGCGACAGGCACATAATTGTTTGTCCGTTCCGCTGCAATTTGCGATAAAGTGCACATCATCCGCGGCCCGTTTACGACGATTCACGCGGAAACGATCTATCGGGAAGACGTTCAGGCGGATGTGCATAAATAACCTTGACATAACCTTGACGTTACGGCTAATTTTAGAAGCAACTGAAATATATAACGAATTTTTCAGATCGTTCGAATTTTATCGAAGATTAGTAGAATTAGAAATACTACTATAAAGATTGAACGATTTCAATTTCGTGTAACAAACAAACAAATCCCCATTGAACTTATTGAAACGAAACTAAATTCTAGGCGAACGCGCCTTATAAAACGCGAACTCCGAAATTCAATTTCCTGCGGATAAAAATTCGCAATTTTATGATTCCTCGGAATCTAATTAATAGATCGTTAATATGTGATAATTAATAGATCCTCGCGCCCCGTAAAAATCTACGGAAGAACGAAAAAACGTGTGTACGCGTCCCGAAAAAAATTGTGCACCCTCGCGACAAAACGATGCCAATGTTAGCGCGAAATTGTTAGGCGAGTTTGCGTAGCTCCGATCGGGGGCCGCGCTAATCGATGCAGAAATATAAAAATGCTCGGCCCCGACACGTTGTAAGACCGATCTGTTTAACCAAGAGGGGTCCTTGGGCTCGGAGGGAAACGAAAAAAACTCCCGAAACCGGTTCACAGCCGACAATTCTGAAATGCTCGGGCAGAATTCGCGGCAGTGGTGCGACGAACTTTGTAAACAGCCGAGGAAAAGAATGCGCGGCCAGGATCCATCTCGGAAGGAGGAAAAAAGTCAGGAGAACGGCAGTGAACGAGGAAACGCAATACCGGGAACCTGATCAACCTGTATTTCCTGCGAAATTCATTTACTGAATCACCAACGCTTTTTGCGACGTTGCGATAACAGTGTTACAAATCCAAAAGCCTCGCGGCTCGTTCTTACGATTGTTCACAATTGGTCGGTATAAAAACGACCCGGAAGACTCGCATAATCGTGCCTCCACCTCCCAAATTGTACATCTCTATGCGCGATCTGAGCGCAAATTAGGGAGTATCTACTGCGACGCGAATATGTTTCATCACAGCGCATTAAAATTCATCGCGTTTCTTGATCGAGCATCTGATTCGCGAGAAGCAACAAAGTTCCACGAGCTTATTAAAATTACGCGCGATCGATTCGAATGCAACGAACCGATTTGTATTCTCCTTTAGCCGCGACAAGGGCGACGAAGAGGCAGAAAATCATTTATTTATATTAAATCCGTACGGGAAGTTGGCCGTTCGTTACAAAACTAAAGAATACAGTGACTTTTCGAATGGATAATTGTACGAGCGTGAAACAAAACTGGTAAGATAACCGCAATTGTTTAAATTGCTACGTTAAATCGATACAGACTGTAATAACCGGACCGCGGATCTTCGCGCGAAATAAAAACTGTCCCGACAAACAAACCCGGTAAGATAACCGTAATTTCTTAAATTGCCACGTTAAATCTACGCAGACTGTAATAACCGGACCGCGGATCTTCGCGCGAAATAAAAACTGTCTCGCTCGATTACAAGGAACGCGAGTCCGGCGAAAATGTCTTTCCGCTTCCAATCGTTTCCACAAGCTGTGTACGCAACGTAAAAATATTCTCAGATTCTTCCCTCGCTTGCAGAATTTCCTTTTCGACCCGACCATTCTCGTCGCGAATCCACAAAATCCGCGGTCCACGACGACAACGTTGCGAAATTATTTATCAAGCGACGCGCCTGAAATTCCGCTCGAACGAGCGCGGTGGACGATTGCTTGCATCGAGATCGATGCAATAATTATTTACATTAAGAAAAAGGCGATCGAGCCCGGCGCGATGTCCACAAGTTCTCTCGTGCTTCGAAACACGGAGAATATCTCTGGATCAGGAACGAAATATTCCGCGGAACAATGGACGCAGGTGAATGGATGATCGAATGATCGTCGATCGCGTCGATCGATGATTGAACAGCTCCCAGTGCACTCGAATGTACTCGATGCACTTGATTCAACAGACACCGTGTACTCGAATTTGTTGATCTAGCCACCCTCCGCGGGAATTTTCTCGCGGACACCCCTTCTGAAAGCTCGG